AGAGAGCACCAGTACTACAGAAGTCTAAACCCAGCCAGTTACAGGTCACCTGGGCTGTCAATGTACAGAAGGCTGCTGCAGGTAAGTGGAAAATATCAGCTAGACTATGACAGAATGGACTATACTTTTCTGTCATAGGTGGCTTTGAAAGTTGTAAGCTGGCAGGAGGCCCAAAATGTCAACATTTCGAGGTCTCATCAAGACCTACCCACTTACCAAATATCAAGACAATCCATCTAAGCCGTCCTGAATTATCGTGTTCACATACACACAGAGACACAGACTCACAGACATACACACACACAAATGCTACCAAAAACATAACCTAAGGTTATATATCATATGTTATAACCTAATGCTACTATTTAAGGCCTGTTTCAATTTTAGAAAACATCTCTGTTGTACAATTTTATATGTAAGGCCTTTTCTTCACGGCAACAGTTGAACACAACATCAGAATTGTTTTCAATTGCCAAAAGGCAGTTACTAAAGCAACACTGGATATGATTTTGGAAATGGTCAGACGTTTCAGCTAGTATCCACTAGCTTTCGTCAGTGACTGGAAGCATCTGACCGTTTCCAAAATCATATCGAGTTGCCTAAGTAACTGCCTTTTGGCGTATCTTATTACCTGGATGTCTAACCTTCATCGACATGTTTTTAATTGTTTTTACAGAGGGCCTTATGACGTTAATGAGGGACCTAGGCCACGCCTACCTAGCACTAAGCCACTACGACTGTCGGAAGGCTGTGTCGCTGTTCCAGCAGCTGCCCCAGCACCAGTACAACACGGGCTGGGTGCTGTCTCACATAGGCAGGGCGTACTTCGAACTGGCAGAGTACCACAAGGTAAGGATGAAGTGTACTTAGTCTAGCTATCTTAACAAGGAAGAAATGAAGCCCCACATTATGTAGTAATGTATATATAGAACCTTAGTACCAATATTTAATGACTGGCAACAAAGTATAATACTTATGGTTTGACTCACATATGTACTCACTTGCTTTATGTATGTATAACTTGCAATGAGCCCAAGGATACAACTGTGCAATAAACGATAATTTAATATTAAGAGGAAAAACCTGGATTCTTCAAAGCCATGCTGTGAGGAGTTTTTGTGAAATTTTGGCCATGTTTTTGACCTTTCTATCACCTTCCCTCTTTCCCCCTAACTTTCCCTTCCTCTCTCTATCTCTCTCTCTCTCTCTTTCTTTCTCATTCACCATGAGTGTGTTTTTGTTAAGACTTTGTGATATACATATCTGTTCTGCAGGCAGAGAAGGCGTTTAAGGAGGTGCGTAAGCTGGAGCCCCACAGGGTGGAGGGTATGGAGCTGTACTCCACAGCCCTGTGGCACCTACAGAAGGATGTTCTACTGTCCTCACTGGCACAGGAACTCTCCGACATGGACAGGGACTCTGCACAGGTACCAACTTTTATAGTGTTGGTTCTAAGTACAGGTTGTGTAGTAGAGACTTGCTGTATGCTTATTTGTAGAGCCTGATCAGGGTTGGAAATACCCACTCTCACACTCTTTCGTTATGGTTTCTGTGGGAGACTTGTTGGAGACACCGTATTGCCCGGCCTGAAACTTACAGCTTCTGAAATAAACTGTGTCCTGCCTCGGTCAGCATGTGAGCGATACCTTTACAGGTGGTCTGGCTAATGGCTTGGCTTCTAAAATAAACAGCCATTGTTGAGGACAACCTGAAATATTGATAGGCAACCTAGCTTTTAGTTTAGGTTGCCTAGTTACCAACTTGAGAAAAAAAGTATTTCGAATCCTAATGATCAAGACGGCATGTTGTAGTTTTACATTTGTTATTGTCAATGTTCAGTGAAAAGGTCAAGAATCGTTAACCTGCTCCCTGCTGTCTAGCTCCATATCTGATACAAATTTGGTGCCAAATGGCTGCCCTAGCAGGCTGAAGGTTAAGCAGAGTGGTTAATGTTTTGTTTATTTGCCCCCCTCCCCCCTCAGTCCTGGTGTGCTGTGGGAAACTGTTTCTCCCTGCAGAGAGAACACGACACGGCCATCAAGTTTTTCCAGCGAGCCATCCAGGTGGAGCCCAACTTCGCGTACGCGTACACGCTGCTGGGACACGAGTACGTGCTGAACGAGGAGCTAGACAAGGCCATGTCGTGTTTCAGGAACGCCATCCGCACCGACCCCAGGCACTACAACGCATGGTGGGTTCAGGGCTTGAAATGGACCTATACCATTATTACGTCACAGTTTGTTTACCGCAATGAATGCCGGTCAATCGACGTTTATATTGTACAGGATTACGTAGCGCGGTGTGTGTTTGTGTAGCGTTAGCCTAATATAAGGCTTCTGATACAGTACTACTTTCGTCTAATGTCACAACTAAATCACCCATGCGGCATGTAATGCTGTGTCAACACAACTAGACGCAGCAAAAAATCAGACATACCTTACTTTGAAAACTTTGAAATGATCTTTATTCTTTAACTGACCGTTCTAGAAAGTTCTTTAGAACAGGTAAACAAACTGTGACGTAATAATGGTATAGGTCCATTAAAGGTGGTCCAATGACCACTGACCACTAAAATTTAGGCTGGGACAACTAAAAAGACACTTTGGGACATTTTTGGGACAATAGAAAAATAATCAACATCAGAATGTCAGCCCTACTTTTGTTTATCAGGCACACGTCCCAGCTTTTGGATCCAGAAAAGTCCCCCCGAATTTCCTGTCTACTTTGCAAGTTAAGTGTGCCTGGGAGTGAACATAAGCAAAATAAAGTTGACTTTAAGTTGAAGTCATACAATACCCAAGGCACTACACATGGTGGGTTAGCTACTGTGATAAAGCACCAAGGAAACATAGCCATTCATGTTAAACTTAAATACTTGCCATATTCTCTACTGTGTGACCCATTTCTATTGTCCACGGTCCACCACTATTTTAAATTTACATTGAACTTGCAGAGCCCATATCGGGTTCAACAGCCCTTGGGCCACACAGTTGTGCAATCACTTCAGAAGTGGGCTAATCCATACCCTTTCCCAAGCATAGTTCTCACCAGGCTGTTTGAGCGTAGGGGCCCCCTACGCTGTGATTTTGACCCCCTACGCTGTGATTTAGCCCCTACACTGTGTTTCGACCAGCGTAGGGGTGGTTTTTGGGGGCAGAAGCTTCATTAATCTTTTAAAAAAAAGGAAAATACAACTTAAGAATGAAGCTATAACAAAGGAAAAACAAAATCTGTCCCCCAATAAACAATAAATAGTGTCTTAAGTGGTTAATATGAGTTACAAAATTTTTTGGGGAGAATATCAGACCCATGTTTTGGGGATATCGATGCGCAACTCGCGCTGCAGAAAGTTGCCCTTCTATACCTGACCCCTACGCTGTGAAAATATCCTGGTGAGAACCCTGCCAAGTCAAGTGCTAAGCAGTATGCACCATTTTTAAAGTCTTTCATATGACTCAGCCTGGATTTACATGTAACTCATGACCTACTGAATGCAAGGCAAAAACTTGTCACTTGGCTATTTCACTATGATATAAGACAATAATACAACAATGTTTGAATATGTGTGTTTAGGTATGGAGTTGGGATGATCTACTACAAGCAGGAGAAGTTTAGTCTGGCTGAGATCCACTTCAGGAAAGCCCTGGCCATCAACCCTTTCAGCTCTGTTCTACTCTGTCACATCGGAGTGGTGAGTTTTTACACTATATTCAGTTTTCACAGTACATCTTTCTGGAGTTTGCAGAATCTTTGAGGTTGTTGTTCAAACAACAGTATCATATATATCAATGCAGTGAAAATGCTGGCAAC